CATTATTAATTCATTCAACTATTTACTGATCCACGCCCCACTAGGCATAACGTTGCAGTTCCACTATGTTTTTATCCTATTTTCTAAGCTTTATTGCTTGAAAATGTAGGCTCTAGAATCAAATTCTATTTTTGATGCTACCATTTTCCCTAGATGAAAATCTCTGCCTCTCTGCCTATCAGTGAACTCTGATGGAGAATATTTACGCAGAATTCTATGTGGTAGCAATTTCTACTTTAAAATAATTTGTACCTTACTTTTCTGAAGAATTGGTGAAATCTCAAAATGATAACTCATGTATTTCAAATACCATTCTCTGTACGTTTCACAGGCTTTTACAAATGGGTGTTTTGTTTTGTTTTCATATTTGACAATAAGCTGTACCTACCAAGAAAAAGATGGTCGGGCATACTAAATTGGTTTACTTTTACCTTCTTTTCCTCACCTAGAACAGTTCTGACTCTTGCCTTTCTGTGTTTAAACAGAAATATGACTGGAATATTTTTAATTAAAGTAGAACAATAGATAAGGAGACAAGAATAACATTTTATAAACTGTTTTGTTTCATAGTCTTGAACATTCTGTTGCTTGTGGTAGGAGATAAAAACTGAAAAACTTTCTTCCTGATATGTGTGTTTTTTGATAGTTTGGAGCTTTTTGTGCCTTTTCTCAAATTAAAAAAAAAATTATGTGGCAGAATCAATAGTGCAGATATTTAATTCTAAAGTGTCTCAGAGTTCTTTCAGAAACTTGAATGTTAACGCAAACATTTATTTAATATTTATAAATACTGTTGACTAAGCTCTAGGTTAAAGTCAATATGCAATTTTCCATCCATGTTATACTTCCCTCCAAAATTGAAGTCTTCTTTGGGCAAAAAAGGATCATTTTTATTTCTAGTTATAAGACACTGTTCATAGGATTTGCTCTATGAAATAAAATATTAAGTTAGTATCTCTCCTTGTTTTTCTCTCATACCAGGGAAACTCCAAAAGAAATGTTCTAACTGGTGCCTTGATTCCAAAAGCATCCCACTAGTATTGCTTATAAAACTTTGACCCAGACCCAAACTCTCTCAGTGATTGGAAATCTCCATGTACTGAAAGGTATAGGGAGAAATACCAATTGTCCAGCAGGCAAGGGGAAGAATCTTGTTTTCACTATTTGGCAAGCACAAAAGAATGAATTATTTAGCTTGTGTAGTGCAGGAGTCTTTGGGCTGTCTTAAACTCTTCATACCATCCCTTCTTCTACAGAGTTCTAGCCCATCATGCTTTGCAACTATGGGTGCTGGAGAAAGGGCTTCAGATCTACCAGGAAAGCAGAAGAGCAGAACTTACCCTGTGCCTGTGGTGCTTGTTGGGGCTCTCTGTTGTCCAGGAGACCAGCAGCCCAGAAAGAGACCCAAGTCTCCGTGGAAACGTCAACACTAGATTCTGACGTTGTAGTGGAATACGGGTAATTATAGTTCTGGCCTCCTACAAAGTACTGGTCTTGGCAAGGCAGAACGGTGTTCTGTGAAAATCAGTATGAAGGGTAGAGGGGTTCCCGGCAGATGGGGTGATGGGGATTTGGAGAGAGGAAAGGGTGGGAGAAAGATGCCGAAATTACACGCAATGAATCAAAAACAGTAAAGGTGCTAAGTATAGATCCCAGGTTAATTTTGAGTGATCAAAATATAAATACTAGAAGGGAGTCAGGTCCTTGGCTTACCCAGTACTTTCCTAAGACCCTCTCAGCAAAGAACAGGCTAGTATTGGATGCTCCAAATTGGTACATATCCAGGAGTATTCTCTATTGCCATGTCTGAGTCATCTAACAGGCTACCCATGATCTAAGTAAAAGGAATTTTACTTAATGATTCAAAGCCATAAGAACTACTTGACTCTTTCTAGCAAATATCTTAATCATATTTCCAATAGCCTTGAAAGACAAAATCATACTAAGGCTGGAATAAACAGAACAACAAAATATAATCTAACCTCCTTATTTTAGTTTCACACTTTCTAAATTCTACAGGTGCCCCCCCCCCCCATTCATCTCTTTTCCTTTCCTCTGGCTTCCAATGCTACTGGGTCCTGTGGTATCTGAGTGGTTTAAAACAGATACATAGATATATTCCAGAGATAATGAAATACATATTGCCCCTCACTCCTCACTCTAAGCTCAGGAGCATAAAATCACTCCAAGTAAATATAGAAGCAGAGCTGAATTAAATTAATCAGTAGAGACAGCAGGCTCTAGTCTCTCCATCACCAGGTCTCAGTGCCCTTGCAAAGTTATCTTGCCACTCCTAACTTCCTGGCAGGTATTCTCCACTGTGTTCTGAGCCAGTGAGCACCCTCCTCCCAGGACTCCTCAAACACAGTCTTTCCAGATATCCAGTCAGGGGCAGGTATGCAGCAGCCTTCCTGGGTTAATTTGTACAACCACCCATTTCTAATTACTTGTCAATGTTTAATCAGGTAAAAGCCATTCATTTCAGCGGAGTGCAGATTTGGACAAACTCTTTTGACCACTATAACTCCTTGTTGACTTGAGGACTTTCTTGGGCATAACATAAACAAAGGAGACAAATAAGAGGGGAAAAAATCACATGTTCCTGGTAAATTAAGTTTTGAAAAAGCCCATTTTGAAGCAAGTCCAGCTTGGGCAGTGCAGACTAAAGAAATTCAGCCAAAGTTTATCAAGTGCTATTTTCTTTTATTCTAAAAGCATGTTTGTAGGCTCT